GTGCAGGAGAACACGTCACCATACCCATCACCACATCACCATACCCATCACTGCATCACCATACCACCAACCACATCACCATACCACCACCCACATCACCATACCACCACCACATCACCATACCACCACCCACATCACCATACCACCACCCACATCACCATACCATCACCATACCACCACCCACATCACCATACCACCACCCACATCACCATACCATCACCATACCACCACCAACATCACCATACCACCACCCACATCACCATACCACGACCAGCAGCATCATGCTCACAATCCTGAAAAAAATCTCAGACATAAACTAGATTCGTCAACCAATTTCACAAAAAGCAATCAACGGTAAAACGCTTTCTAAATCACATTGGAGAATTGGTACAATTTTTTTTTTGCGGTGCGGGCCGCTGACGTCAGAGAACTGTAATTACCCGACTTAATTAATGAACCTTAAAGCTCAAACTACGGAGGCATCAGACCAGTGATAAACTTAGCAAACAAATATTCTGAAATCTGAAATCTGATTTGATGCTGAAAATCAGGGATTTGAATATTTAACAGATGTAAATTGGAGTTCAGAAGTGGAGAGGGTTTTAAAATGGGGGGATTGTACCTGAGTTGTTATCACTGTAAATTGGGAACTCCAGTTTGGTAGAATACAATAAGATAGCTGGATTTAATGAGATATTTAATACCAATAATCATAATTATAGCAATAAAATATTTTCATGTCATGATACAGGTGTAAGATGAGCAGCGAGGAGTGATGTCCTGATGATACTACTATTACTACTACTACTACTACTACTACTACTACTACTACAACTACTACTACTACTACTACTACTAATAATAATAATAATAATACACTTATGTAGTTTTGGGCGTTTCCATAACTATTATTCTTCAACTACCATAGATTGAGTTGTCAGGTGTTAATCAATTTTGATGGTCAATGGTAAATTATGACCTATTAAGAGATGTTAAAGATGTTATCAAATTCGACCCACCAAATTGTTTTGACTGTCGACATTACTGTCTAACTGCATTTGCAAGAGAAAGAACATTGAATAACATAAACTAGATTACGCAGTCACACGCATCGACCATATCAATACTTGGTCGATAAAAACTGCCTCGGGTGATTACATTCAAGCGACAATATCGTGTCAATTGACCAAAAAACGACTTATCAACAAGAGTTGCATCGACGGGGACCCTTTACTAAAGTGATTCACCCTTAACTGCATTCATTGTCATTAGCTTCATCGTTTGACGTTTAGAACATCGATTTCCTATTAAAACATCGATGAATATGTAAACATCGATAAATATATCTACACCGATCAATATTAACACAATCTATCAATTTTAACACCATCTATCAATATTAACACCATCTATCAATTTTAACATCATCTATCAATATTAACACCATCTATCAATACTAACACCATCTATCAATACTAACACCATCTATCAATACTAACACCATCTATCAATATTAACACCATCTATCAATATTACTACATCGATCGACAACTGAAAGACTCGGTATTTTTGCTATGCTTACTTAATCACATGCAATGCTCAGACAACCATTGATAGAGACAACCACTCTCCTTGCGTGTCGGCGTTCGATCCCCGACTACCCCAAGTGCTTGGGCAACATTCCTTTTCCCGAGTCCTATCTCAGCTCCTTGTTCTGGTATTCCTTAGAGCTATCTTCTTGTAATTACCTTACCTTACCTCTCTTATGCTTGTATGACTTAACCTTTTCCTTTTGCAATGCCTCGTATTTGATCTTTGTTAGTCACGATTGTCTCTTAATGACTCCTCACAGTATATCTTAAGAGTCATAACTTGAGGTTACCTTGAGATGATTTCGGGTCTTAGCGTCCCCGCGGCCCGGTTCTCGACCAGGCCTATGTCTGAAACTTTGTTTACATATATTTGAGAAAAAGGAAGAAGGGATTTTTGTTATTAAAATTAACTACTAATAGCAACGTAACTATTTATTATCAATGAATATTTCTAAAAAAGGCCCTCACTGGGAACTTAAATTACGTAGAATACATGTTTGCATTAATAGCAATTAATCAGGCAATTAATTTGGCAATATAATAGCAATTAATCAGGCACATCCAAACTCTTTATTTCTGTGATGACCAAACCACACAGCAGAAAATGGAGAAGTGACGACGTTTCAGTCCGACGATCCTGGACCATTGCACGACACGATAATGGTCCACGATGGACCGAAACGTCGTCGTTTCACCCTTTTCTGATGTGAGGTTTGGTCATTATATCTTCCACCACGGTATTGTAACTCATCGTCTTCACTCCCAACAATTAAACAATCTTAGATATTACAATCTTAGATATTATATTGCTCAACTACTGCAACGACGCCGTAATTGACTTGCAATCCTAACTGCAAGAATTCATCGGCGTGAACCATAGTACTCATCATGTACTCATCATATAAGTACACTGTTGAACATTTTACTCCAGAGATCGATAATAATTCTACTAATCGCCGTCAGAAGGAATAATCCATACCAATTGCTTAAGCTAATCGACAGCTACGACGATTCCTCTGCCAACTTGACCAATCGCCATTAAGTGCATTAACATCGGCGGTTATAATCGACACAAACTACATTGCCAGACATAAACAAAACAGAGACTCCTCTATATGACATGACAGCTGCAGGAGGCAGACATAAATAAAACAGAGACTCCTGAATATGACATGACAGCTGCTGGAGGCAGACATAAATAAAACAGAGACTCCTCTATATGACATGACAGCTGCAGGAGGCAGACAAAAACAAAACAGAGACTCCTGAATATGACATGACAGCTGCAGGAGGCAGACATAAACCAACCAGAGACTCGTGAATATAACATGACAGCTGCAGAAGGTAGACACGATCTCTGCCTCACATCAAAGTGTTCATCTGATGGAAACGTTGTTTTTAATTATGTTCACCGGTGGCCCTAAATATGTCGATAATGAACGGGGAGAGAGAGAGAGAGACTGAGAGTTGTTTCGTCAATAAAAACATTGACTAATTGGTGATTTGTAGACAACATTGGTTCTCATAGTGAGATTTTCTAGCGAGGCTTCGGTCACAACTAGAGAGAGCTGGAGACGGAAGGACGATGATGGAAATGAGTGACAATTAGAATGCCGAGGAGCAGAAAGAGAATAAAAAAGAAAAGTTAAGAAAAGAAAACATGTGAAGAAGGAGACAGAGAGAATGAGAAGGAGTGACAGAGACAGAGAAGAAGAGAGTCACAGAGATAGAGAATTATGTGCCCATGGAGTCTAGTGAAGGGGGCACTCAGCCAAGTAATTAACCCTCAAGGACTAATTACGAACCTTATTAAAACGGTTCACTAAGGCACTTGTCTGGAGAACCACTGGAGAAAACGATTTATATCTCCACCACTTGTAGTCTCTTTTATTATAATTACACAACAAAGGTCAAAATAATGGATAATAAGGATATAAGAACAAATGTCATGCAATACAATCAGCCAATCAGCCTCGAGCATGAATATAATACCAGCCAATCACCTTCCAGCATGAATATTATACCAGCCACTCAGCATCTAGCAGCGATGTGATTCAAAACAACCAGTTTTCTGAGACGAAGCGCTTTATACTCACAAGTAATCAGTACAGACAGAAATTAGCCTCGGCCAATCACCTTCGAGATGGTGTGTAACACTCTCTCTCTCTCTCTCTCTCTCTCTCTCTCTCTCTCTCTCTCTCTCTCTCTCTCTCTCTCTCTCTCTCTCTCTCTCTCTCTCTCTCTCTCTCTCTCTCTCTCTCTCTCTCTCACACACGCACACACACACGGAGCTGGTGTCTGAGTGGGTAGCGCTCTTGATTCGTGGACCTAGGGACCGGGGTTCGATCCCCGCAGCCGGCGGAAACAGATGAGAAGAGTTTCCTTCACCCTGATGCACCTGTTATCTAGCTGTAAATAGGTACCCTGGGAGTTAGACAGCTGGTACGGGCTGCTTCCTAGTGGTGTAATTACCTAAGTGTAATTACCTAAGTGTAGTTACAGGATGAGAGCTACGCTCGTGGTGTCCCGTCTTCCCAGCACTCTTTGTCATATAACGCTTTGAAACTACATAAAAGAGGAGTAGGGGGAAAGAGCCTGATAAGAGGAACAAGAGAAGAGTACAGAATAAGAGACTGTCATGGAGTAGGAAGAGAGCGGTGAACACTGTGGATTAGTGTGAACAAATCCACAAGGGCCGTGACGAGGATTCGAATCTGCGTCCGAGAGCATCCCAGACACTGCCTTAATCGACTGAGCTACGACATAGTCAATAGTGTCATAGTCATAGTGTGTGTGTGTGTGTGTGTGTGTGTGTGTGTGTGTGTGTGTGTGTGTGTGTGTGTGTGTGTGTGTGTGTGTGTGTGTGTGTGTGTGTGTGTGTGTGTGTGTGTGTGTGTGTGTGTGTATGTGTATGTGTGTGTAAAAAAATAGTAGTTAGTAACAGTTGATTGACTCACAGTTGAGAGGCGGGCCGAAAGAGTAGAGCTCAACCCCGCAAGCACAACTAGGTGAATACAACTAGGTGGATACACAGGTGAATACACAAAAATATGGGGTTCAAGCCGCCAACATGGGTTCAGGGAGGGTAAATCTTGCCATTGGTACAATAGAGTTCTATGATCAGGTGACAAAGATTAAGCAAGAAAGAGAAGGATGAGCGGACTGCATTTTCTTTGACTATCGGATAGCCTTTGACACAGTACCCCATAAAAGGCTGGTACATAAGCTAGAGATACAGGCAGGAGTAACTGGTAGGGCGCTCCAGTGGATTAGGGAATACCTAAGCAATAGGAAGCAGAGAGTTACAGTGAGGGGTGAGACCTCAGATTGGCGTGAAGTCACCAGTGGAGTCCCACAAGGCTCTGTACTCGGTCCTATCCTGTTTCTGATACACGTAAATGATCTCCC